ATCATCAATACTCTCTGTGGCTCTGCTCACTCATAGGTCAGCTATGCACAGAACACTGACTAAGAATTCTAAACCTGGGCACAGTGGGGAGAAGGGAATCAGCCACAATCACTTTCTGTCAACTCTCACTCCAAGCCTCCAATAAGCATAACAGACGCTCAGCTACAGGAAGTCACCAGCAGCCCAGGTATCAGATTAAACTCAGGCAGCAGCTGGAGAACAGAGCAGGATGGAGTGGCCTGCCACAGGCCAGAAACACACCTGGTACTAAAACCACCAGGTGCAGACACAGTTATTGCCTGCTGCCATTTGTATGCATCTCTTGGGATTTAGTGATCCCAAAACCTGCCATGGCCTCTCCTCCATCTTGTGAGGATGAGCCTCATGGGAGTGAGAGGCCCTTGGTGGCTCCTCCTTATCTGGTCCCATTTGTCTTGTCAATCTCCTCCTGAACAGCAAGCTGGCAGGGATTTTGTATTACAAAGATACCATGCTCAGATCAAACCCAAAGCAAACCTCTCCTCACAGAGGTGTTTCCTGTGGATAACTCAACAGAGAGATCTGTCTTATCATTAGATTTAATACTATTTAAAAATTCAGGATTTAGGATACCAGCATTCTCTTTTCTCTTGTTAATTTATGTATCAATATCAAACTATTAATAACAATCATAGAAAAATATTAACATTTTAAAAAAGGTCCTCTAATTTTATTAGAACTTGCATTTCTGTTTTAGTGACATTATGGAAAAATGAGATTTCCTGAAATCTGTGTTTCCTTTCTTAAAGAACATATCCTCTGCTAGCGAGTGTCCCAAATCAGCTTAAACACATGTCACACACAGCTGTACAGCCTTTGATTTCCTGCATTCTCTCAAAGGGAGGAGGCAGAGGGAAGTGCCTGCATCCTGACAGGTGATGTCCACCCGCTTTGTGCTCTTGCTGCCTTTCGGCTATCACTGCTGTCCACAGGCTGGGCTCAGAGGCAACATCTAATCCACGCAGTTCAGAGACCTCAAGCCCTTGCTAAACTATCACAGCAGCTCTTTTCTAACTTAAATCCTCTGAAAAATAACTCAAACCCACAATCGAAAAATATCAAAAATTCTTTTAAAAGGCCCCCCCCAAAATCAAACAAGTCATAGGAAATATTTCTCCTTAAACACAACTTTTATGTTCACAAGTATTAGTGCACAATAACTCATTTCTACAGATTAGAAAATGCAGGCTCAAAAAAGCTTATTAACCCTAACAACTCCAAGCCCACGGACCTTTCTTCATCATACCACAGTAAGCAGCAAACCCATCGTGTCATTGAATGCAAACTTACATCGCATAGTCGTTACTACAGGTATTGTTGGTTGTTGTATTGAGGCCTGGACAGAAGTTTTGCCCAATAAATTCATTATGCTGCAAAGCCTATAACACAAGGGGAGCAAGACAAGATAACCGGTTTTAAATTTCAAAAAGTTTCCAAAGAATGATCACAATTATATCCTTACGTTTAATCTTGTTATTTCTAAAAATATGCTAAATTTCACATTCATAGTTTTGATCCCAGCAGAGTAGCTAAGGCTATTTTTCCTTGGCATTCTAGAGGCCTAGAATTGGGAGGTTGTTCATAGAGTTCTTCTTTCTTCTCTCCCCCAATTTTATTTACCTATAAAACTAAAAATGATACAATGGTGCTCAATGAATATTATTTATTTATGGTAATCTTTTCTTGTTTGTTTTCATCAAGATCAGTTGTAATTATGGAAGTCAGAAACTGAATTATACTGTATTAAGACACACACGGTTTACTTTAGAGATCATCTTGCCAATATGACTGTGAGTATCCCATGGCCATTATTCCTTGTTTAATTTCCCTTCTGATATAAACTATGCATTCTAGTCTCCCATCCTCTCACTTATTTCCTTAATAACTTGAAACACAGCAATGTTTTTCATCGACTATTTGATGTCCCCTTTGCTGTGAGATTTCTTCTCACCTTTCATCTCCCTCAAAAAACAGCATGCCTGGAGGAAACCTCTGATGACTCCTGACTTTGTGCTAACCCAGGCTCACAGGAACTTCTTATCAATTGCTCCCAAAGGGAAATTCCTGAATGTGATGCATTAGGCTCCGACACGGTTAGGCTTTATTTTGGTGGTTTCCAGCTTGGAAACCTAGTCACAATGACAGATGAGGACTGCTTACCGTAAAGCCGTATCGAGGAATGCTTAAGTACTGAAGCCAGGATAGCCAAGATGCAATGGTCCTGAGATTCACCAAGAGACCAGAAAAAATCTATGAAAAGTAAAAGCTACAAGTCAGAACCAGTGCAGTGATTTCATGAGATATTCTAGACAAGACCTTCAACACCCTACAGTCAGATGGATGTGATGGCACCAACTATAATCCAGGCAGTAGGGAGGCCAAGGCAGAAGGGCCATGAGTTCAAGCCACGCTGTGCTACACAGCAAGACTGTCTCCAAAACCAATCAAACAAAGAAACAGTAAGCAAACAAAAAAACACCCTACAACCTTCTATACATTCCTGCTAAGGCCAACTCTTTCTGAAACTCATTCCAATATTCTAGTCATCCTCATTTGCATATGTCTACCTCTGCATAGCTAAGGCTCTTTAGAGTTTCAAAGGAAGGACAATATACTTATAATCCCTGTATATTTCATTTATTTGGAAGCTCCTTAATTGTATGGACTATATCTTCAACTGTGCCAAGAAGCATGGTCTTCCCTCAGAATCCAGAGAATTGGGTTTGGAACTCCCCACAAAATTTGCGGACATTCAACTCTCCTATTTTTAAAATGGCATAGTACTTGCATAGAATCCATGCACATCTTTCATACTTTAAATATAAGTATGCAGTATATCTAAAGTCATCTCTAGATTGCTTATAATACCTAACACAAGGTAAAAGCTGTGTCAATAGTTGTTATTCTGAATTCTCTAGGGAATAATGACAAGGAAAACATCTGTACATACTCAATACATACACTTTTTTTTTAACATTTTGATCTGTGGTTGGTTGAGTCTCCAGACATGAACCCATGGACACAGAAAGCAGACTGCTGGTGCTTCTAATGATAGCACTTCTGGCGTCCCCCCAACATGTCTGAGCAATTCTGAGTACCTGAGCAACACCTGACCTTCTAACTGAATATGACAATAAAATTTCTTATTTAAAAGGTTTACTCTCTATATCCATGATTTTAGGAATAATTTGGGGTTCAAAATATATGCTTAAGAGAACCTAAAGCCTAAAACTGATAAAGACTGTAAGTGGTGAAATACAACAGAAAATGTGGTCAATACCTCTATTTAAAGCTACCAAAAAGCAGTATCGCAATGGAAGTGGCAGGAAGGACTGCCTGAAAGGACCAAGAGACAGCGTGAGGTTCACATAATGCTAGGAGAACTGGGATATGCAAGATAATAACAATGTGTGGAGGTGTGGCTCAAGAGGTAGAGCACCTGCTGTATAAGCATGCAGCCCTGAATTCAAAACCCAACTTTCCCCCACAAAATTAACAATGACAATGTTGCTGGTGTGTTCAAATATATTTATACTTGACCTAACTAAGTGCTTAGTATGTAACACAGAATCCCTGAGTAAAACATGATTTCATGATAGGTTTTAAAAGTTCCATATAGAAACCTTTAAATAATCAGACATATCAAGAAATAAATTAAATAAAATATTTTTATTATTGAAGGACATTTCATTTCTTGGATGATGATATAAATAAGGATTATCACTTTCTCAATAATATCTACATGGGTAGTTTCCAAATTCAGAAATGGAGAAACAAATCTTTAACCAGCATTTGTACTAATTTTGTATCATTAAAAGATATCCTCCTCTAGCAAAAAGGATGTGTGTATTAATAAGCTAGCCATTCCTGTTTAACTGATGTCATCAATGGGAAAAATGTGATAAGTAGTTCCCTTCATCTTTTGATTCACCTACATGAATGCAAAATTTAGGAACATGTAAGATTATCAATCACTAAGTGACCATCGAACGAACAATAAGCAGAAATATATTGATACAAGAGACTGTCAGGAACCCAGCAAGGAAGTGAACTAGTACTGTGGGCTTTGGAATTTTCCAGTATTTTGAAAACACTCCTCTTCAAAACACAAAAGCTCCCAAGATACACTCCCCATGCCGCACACTGTCACGCTTCTCATAGTGCTTGGCTCTTACCTGGACAGTGGTGATTCCAATCTCAACATCTGCTGTGGTTGAACAGCTAGCATTTCTCTAACACCAGCATTCCCTTTTTATGAAGGAGCTGACCAATCACATTTCCAGTTTTTGAAGTTCCATTTTGTCAAGGTTTCACAATATGTCACTAAGAAGTATCTTTTAAAAGCTCCTTAGTGGACTGGGTGTGTGGCTCAAGTGGTGGTGTGTCTGCCTAGCAAGCCTGAGGCTCTGGGTTTAACTACCAGTACCACCAAAAAATAATGATAACAATAATGATAAATGAAATAATAGAAAAAAAATAATAAAAGCTCATGAGAAAGGACTTAACTAAATTATAGTAACTAGATTAAACAGCTGCAAAAAAAAAAAAAGGCTGCACAAAGAACAGGAGGAAAACTGGTACCTTCTCTAAAATAAACTATATTTCAGTGTACAGCCTCCTGAGAGCACCAGAGTTCCAGGTACCGGTCCTCAAAGCAGGTTTTATGCAACAGGCAAATGTGCAGAATGAACATGGAGAAAAAAATTCCCTCTCAGAGAAACACGATTCATACTCACCATCATAAACACAAAAGAGATGGTCATGAGAAGTGTTGCTACAGACACCACACTCTGACCCGCTGCAATGGCAAATGCCATGGAACTGGCTGTGTAAGCCACCATCATAAGGGTGAATATCATGATGAAGAAAGCCTCCACCGCTGGTTTCAGTCCTTAAAAAGAAAAGGAGTCAGGCCAGTTGCCTAGTCACTGTGTATCTGGGCTGTGTGCTGTATAAATAACACCGTAATATGCTCAGAAACTAATACTAGAATGAAAAAGTCACCCGCTACCCAACTACCCTGCGTCACCAATCTTATTGTTTCCCTCCATGTAACTGCATAAAGTTATCTTGTTCTTTTTTTATTCTTACTGCAAAATCATGTTTCCATATAACACCTGTGTTCCTTTATGCATAATTATGAACAGTTTCTGAGTTCCTGAGATGGTGAGCTATAAGCAACACAACTGACCAAAATTCTACAGCCTTCTCCCCAGAGAGGAAACCTCAATACCCAGACATCTTCACATCACTCAGTGTTTGCTGTAACTACGTTAATGAAGAGACCAGGATTAGGAGCGCATGACCTCGCAGTAGTTGTAATACCTTTGGGGAGGGGAGGGCGCCTATAAACCTTATTCTCCTAGACAAATCACCTCTGTGACTGAGGATGGGGATAAGGTAAGTTTCATAAAGTAATTTGTAAGTTATAATGAACTAATGCTCATTTAGCCAAAAGCTAAAGATTTTGTAATAGATACAAGAATAATAACAGGAGTCTGGGAGTATAGATTCAGTGTCTCATTCTTTATCATACACCTTTTATTAGTAAAATGGTAGTTTTTACCTCTGTCAATGGTTCGTATCCTACAGTGATTTGTCAAAAATAGATATTTGTTGTGTGTATGTCTATCAGTGAAAACTATGAAAATTTAATGCAGTGAGCCTGGGGTGAATTTTGAGCATCCCACACAAATGAATCTGTCTACATCTATGAAACATATATTTTTATTATATCAATAAACTCCCAAAGTCACCATCTTTTTTCTCATTAGAAAATGGGTAGAGCAAATATATGTGGACAGCAATTTTTAAGTCTCTGACTATATCTCTTCACATGTCAGTACAGAAATAAAGAGGTAAATAAAAATACTCACACAGAAATTAGTGTCACTTTATAGGCAAGACTACAGGCACTTCTTTTTTGTTTTGTAACTTACCTAACATAAAGTACACTATAACAGTGAATAAAATGCTTGGCAATGACCTCATGGGTAATAAATCAGATAACAGTTTTCCAAAGAAATAAGATGACACTCTGTAGTATCCACTGATGTATTCATGTCTACAAACAGAAATTCACATCAAGCAGGCAGATTAGTCTCAGAAGGCACTGGGCAGACTTCCACTGCCCTCCCCCAGGTTTAACAGGCAACTTCCCATACCACCCAAGCTGATCCCACACCTCCACCCTCTCAGGCACCAGCCTCCCTAGTTCCATCCCCATGAAGCTGTCTCTATGACCCTCTGTTCTCACAAACCTCCCTCCTGCTGTCCTCCACTCTGGCCCCAGAGCTCCCCCTCCAGGAAAACAGACTATGTCACCTCACTCTCCTCAGAGACTCAGCTCCTCTGACACTGGCTCTCTGCACAACAGCACTTGGGAACTGAACTCAGGATAATGGTGGTTTTTTTCTCCTTCCTGTTATGGAAAAGGTGACTCTGCTTTTCTCCATCTGGTCACTACAGTCTTTTTACTTCTGCTACTCTCACATCAAAAAAGGAAAAAGACTTCTTCAATGACCTCACCTCCAATGGCCAGCCCTGCCAGCTACCAAC